TATTAATCTTAATAATAAATTAAATAATCCTACATGGATATTTATATCATTATTTTCTTAATTTGATTTATAAAATTATTTTTTAATAATGTTAAATATCAGTTAAACCTGATTGATTTTAACTACAACTAACATTGGTGTTAGTTTTGATGTATATTTTGCTTATCTATCTTTTTGTTTTTTCTCTTTCATAGAACAATGTTATTTGCATTGTATTGAACAAATTATATTTTCTTGGATTTCATCTCATCGATGAATCTGGTATATTTTTTATTTTTTTTGCTTTTCTCGCTTATTATGTTAGATATATCTATTGGTCTTGTGTATCTTGCATTTTTGAGGCACATAACTGTTAAAAAAGAAGCGTCAAAAGGTCGATGAAATTGAGATGCAAGATACAAGTCACTTAAATTGAGATGCAAAATCATTGTAACAATCAAATTGGATTGAACAGGTTTTTTTGTTCTTTTTGATTAGCATAAGCTCTTCAAACGATTCTACAATTATTTATTCTGGTGTGAGTATATTTTGTTTGAGGTAGGCTCACTGAACAATCTAGAGACTACTCTGCTTTCACAAATCTAGAAAACGAGATTAGCTTCTTCTTTTTAAATTGTATGCTAATGCTTTTTAGCCTATTTTTTTATTATTTCATTATGCTTTGTTTTGGTCCTCTCTCATGTAAATATGAATAAGTTGGGTTAGTAATTAGTACCGAACCACTTAACTATTCTTAGTGTTTTCTACTAGAAAACAAGACCATGGGAGAAATTATCAGACGACCGACATATATCCGTTCATATTATAAATCTTAACCATCTCAAACGTCATCAACCTGGATAAATTTAGAAGGCTGGTACAAGAAAGACGATGTGGTTGCCGGGAGGAAGAAGGTGAAAGATGGACTGCGATCATGTATTCATTGTTGCGTGAGCATCCGAGTTTTTTGCTTGATGTGGCTGCAGAGCTTAGGAATTGCCTTTGGTTAGTGTTCTTCATGTTATCTCTTCTTCTTCCTTCTTCTTCTTTGTCAAACAGGTTCTTTAGAATAACTTGATCTAACTCTTTGGCATTGTGATTGAAAAAGGTACTAAAAGCTGTTTCATGGAGATTCAACTTGAAGCTTGTAACTGTTTAGCTGATTTTAAGATCTATAATATGAAAAGTTTGTGGAATCGGTATTAACACAACTAATGCAATTTCCATGTTTATGAAATCTTGAATCAGATTGTTATGTGTTTCTTCATTTTACTAATGTATTTGAACATGAGCTAGCATTGCTATACATTAACTAAGCAAGCTATCTCCACTTAAAGTGTTTCGTATCATTGTGTTTGATGTCCATATATGTTGTAAATACAAGTAAAACTACAGATGTTACATCAAATTTAAATGGTTGACCAACTTATGACGAGAAGAGGGCAATGAGGTATGATCCCGAGCAATTGGGTTTTCTTGATCGTATGCATATTATAAATACTTTGTTTCATAAGCCTTGGATGAGATCACGTCACTTCAAACACTGGAATTTGATAAGAATTTTATTTTATTAGTTGAATCACATTCATAACTGCAATGGATGTAATTCTTACAGTTTGCAGATCATTGAAAATATCTCATTGGTTCAACTTGGTTCCAATGTTTTTTCTAGGCTTATAGGTGCTCAATGATGGAATATGTTGTTAATTAACGAATGAAGCATGGGAAGTTAATGCTTATAATCTAAGAAATTTGGAACAGAAAATGTAAAAGAGACTAATGTACAACTCACTAGCACGTACGGACATTTGTGTATGAAATTTCGATTTCTTTAATTAAATCATTCGCTTTAAAGAAAATAATTTACATTTTCTAAGTACGTAAACCCTTAAGTTAAAATTACTAAACACAAAATTATGTTATTGTATTTAAAAAATTCCAAGGAGTTTACATACGTGATATATCCAATCATCTAACATTATAAAATTTGCACATATAAAATAGGATTGATAGGAGTTTGATCTTTGGGTATACTTTTTAGTGGATTTATATGTTATTAATTTTGCACATATCATATGGTATGAGTGATGTGAGTTTGGGAATACTTTTTAATCGATTAATATATCTTAAGACTATATAAGCTATATTATATAGCATATGAGTTGCTTTGCTATGATCTGACTATATAAGCTATAATATATAGCATATGAGATGCTTTGCTATGACTATACTCATTCCGTTATTGTTTTGTATACAGTGCCGGTTCAGTGATTTTTCATGTCCTATGCAAATTTAAAAATATGCATTTTTTATATATTGTATTTTATATTACGAAAACTAGAAAAGAAAATAAAACTATAGTTAAAACTTCATTCCAAACAAACAATCTTAATTCATAAATGATTTATAAAAAATGAAATAAAAACAGTAAAAAAAATTATGTTGACAAAAAAATAGTATTATTTATATTTTTTCTTGTAAAATTATTAACTAAACTCACATGATCTAGTTTTTCAATCATACTTATCTTAATCAATAACAAACTAATTCATTCAGTTTCTTTTCTGATATCGCATATCACAAATAATTTTTAATTAGATTCAGTTTTAAAAAAACTTCTTCCAATAGCGGGAACCAATACCAAAATAGTCAATAAATGCAACAAGCAATTTAGGTGTTTGTATAAGATTACTCCATTTTTTCTGGTATTAATATTGATATTGATACTCATGTTTATATAACAATCTTTCATTTTTGGAGTTTAATTAATAAACATAATACTAAACTTAATTAGAATATTTATTAATAAAAACTCATAAAATTGCTAACAAAACTTAATAAACATTATTATTATAAGAAAATTAAAATTTTATTTATATATTATCACATTAATAGAGAACTAATCCTAATAAATAAAATATTTAAAGAAAGTGTCTCTAAGTAACTAATCCTAATAATGAATATATTTTAAGCTGATGCTCTTAAAATATTGCTGTCATAATCCTTTGCTTGGGTGGCTTAGCCTATGGGCCGGTCCTGTTTGCATATATGGTTTGTCACTAACATAAAAGGTTGTTCACTCTCACGATTTTTTTTATGTATCTAAGAATAATAACATAAAATTAAAACAACAATATTTACAAATGTTTTGGGAATTGAACTACTTAAATAAATTTAAAATAATTAAAATTTTCAATTTTGATTTAACTTATTTATAAATATTATATATTTTGTATAATTAATTATAAATTATTTAGCCTGTGCAAGGCACAGGTGTAGGACACCAAGTAAATAAGTATGTAAATACATATTTTTTATAAACAAATAAATTCCTACATACAACAATAATGAGTATGATTTAGCGGTTATACATCTTTATAAGTTTCCGAGATTCCTAAATCGAATATCATTTAATTTTATAAAGATTTAAAAGCTTCTATTAAAATCCTTATAAATGAGTATGGTTTTTAAAAAAGCTTTTAAATCGTTATAAACTATATTAGGCCAAGAACTATAAATATGAAAAACTTGCATATGCTTGTAAGTTGTAACCACCAAACCATACACACAATTGTTGTATGTGAGAAATTATTTGTTTATATATATTATGCATTTATATAGTCATTTATAATGGTTTTTAAAAAGGTTTATAAAATATTTGAATCTATTTCAACCACTTATTTGTAAAATTCAGATTAAAATGGATTCATAAAGCTTTATTAATCTTATTAAACTTATCTATAAGGTTTTATGAGCAAATTTATAAAAGCATATAAAATCCTTAAAAGTTAATTCCCACTTCAAAAATACTAGCTTCATTTCCTGCAGAGAGAGATCATACATCTAATAGTGTACTAGTGGTGACTTTACATACTTCATTCCAGCTTCAAAAACTCTGGTAGATAGGTGTTATCTACCAATCAAGAGAACAAGTCTTCAAAGTGCAATTGGCACAATCCCATTGAATTTCAAAAACCATGTCCTTAGTATATCTTTTCTTTAGCTACTTGGATGCTTCAGTTCTATCTCTCTCTCATTGTGAAATTTAAGAAAAAATTAAATACACATCATATATTATAGCAAAGGTCAAGCACCAGCAACCATGTAAATAATTGAATTTGGTCTTCTTCTCCGTGGGCTTCAAAATCTGAAACGAGCACATAAGGTCATTCATTGTTGTCTTTTGTTTCTTAAATGATGAACATAGTGAATTGTGTTTTCTCAAAATACCTTGATGTCAGGTTATAGCATCGACCCATAAATTATACAGAGAAAATCTCCTTGTTATAATAACAGTGAAAAGAGTAAAGTTAGCTACGTAAAGTTGGTGTAAGAGCCACAATCAGATTTAAAATAACAAAATGATAGAAATTCAAAGAGACGCTTGTGGCAATCCGAAATCATCATACTTGACTCACCCCAAAAAAATTTTCTGCATCACCCACATAGACAATTAGGAAAAAAAACAAAGCTGAATCAGAATCTGAAAGCTATCACCATTTAACGTATACATGATGATACAAATGACTAATCACACCAGAAATTCAATTTGCAACCAATAGGACGCTAAGAACGAAGCACAAACACATCCTATCTTCAGAGAATCTAGATAAACTATCATCAAATGTCTAATCATACAAAGAAATTCAATTTACAAGCATCAAGACCCTAAGAACGAAAAACAAATACATCCTATCATTAAAAAAAAGGAAAACGATTTATTTCTCTACCAGAATTATTATATAGCACCAGATCCACATCAAATTAAAGCCTAATGATATATATTCCCGAAAACAAAGTTTTATACCTAATTATACCTATATCGAAAGTTTAAAACTTATATCTCCCTGAAATCAAAGTTAAAAATATCAGATCCCACAAATATTGGTTTACTATTAACCAAACAAATCATTAACCACATAAATACAATATTAACCAAATTTAAACCAATTACAGCGACAAAAAATTTAAACCAGACCAATTTTCACTATTTGATTTGTGATTTTGAGTCAACAAATATTTCAGAAATTGTCGAGCTTCATGAGTTCGTCGGAATCGGAGGATACCGCCGTCAAAGCAGGAGTTAGTAGTTGTAGAGCAGAGCGAGCATGAGTTGCGAGGAGGCAAGCGGCTAGAACAGGACAACACCGGCTCCGGTCAAGGTTTCTCCGACAAGGTTCGTTGACTCGACCAAATAACTCGTCGGAGAGGTCAAGACAACTTTGAGCATGGATCTCGTTGGAAAGGCCGGTAAGGTGTTTGACGAGTAGATTAGTCGAGACAATGGGAAGAGGAGATAGCAGAGGATGACGATTGACGAGTAAAGTGGGACTTCTCTTCATTGTAAAAGGCTAGAAAGAGATAAAAGAGAGTGAGACAGAGGAATGGATTAAGAAGCTTTCAATTCTCAATTTGTTACAATAAATCCTTTTGGTTTGATTAAATTACACAGACCAATAATGAAAAGTTGCTTTTCTTTGTGAATCTAAGAAAGTAATTTCTAAATCCTTGATTGGTGGTTACATAGAAGAATCGATTTCTAAATCCTTGATTTGTGGTGATATAGAAGAATCGTTTGTTATATAAATTCACATGAGCAAACATTTGTTCTTCTTCTCTTAATTGTTTTTGATTTTGTGGAAAGAGGGAGGAGAGAAGAAGAGGGGAAGGAGTCAAGGAGGCGAAAGGAAGAAGATGACTTTTTATTTTTCTTTTTTTCCAACTTTTTTTGGTTGTAAATTTAATTTGGTTTGATGTAAAATTTAATGGTTTAATATTTGGTTTAGATCATAAACCGTTTAAACCGATACAGATAAGTTATGAGCTTTTAAACCATCAATTAGGGAAATATAGGTCTAAAACTTTATTTTCGAAGATATATAACATTAGGCTTTAATTTGATGTGAATCTGGTGCTATATAATACTTCTTGTGGAAAAATAAATCGTTTTTCCTTAAAAATAAATGAACCATTTCTAGAGAAACTATCAGACGAACAATGACAAGCTCTGAATCATTATCATTGATTAACCCGAGATTAAAAGAAGAAGAATAGCTGATGTTTAAGGTCGTAAGGGTCAGCTTCTTTGTCCTTCGTACCAGCAGTCCTATAGCTTCTCTCTCAGCCTCTTTCTCATAAGAATGAATCTCTTTCACAATACTTTTACAAGTTGCATATTTCACTGTTTGGAGGTTTTTGTTTCCTTCAGCTACAGGACTGCTGATATAAAGGACAAAGAACGTCATATATGAAAATTTAAGCAAATTAGCAAAACAAGTTTAATAGTAATAGTTGCTTAGTGGTTTGCTTCTCATGCTGCTCATTGATGCCATGTCAAAATACTAAATCTTATCAAGCTAGGATCACACTCAATGAAGAAAACTATTTTATGACAGAGTAGTTAGATGATCTGATCTTCCAAAGGATGGAACAGTTAATAATAGTAGATCTAACGCTTTTCTAAAACTTAGAAGTGATTTCATAAGGGCACTGGAAATTCAAAAACAGCTCAATAAAGGATTACACAATCGCAACACCTTTAAAAGATAAAATTTCAAACTCTAGTGATAAAATACAGAGCTCAAATCAAAACCAGAAATGCGTACTTCATACGGACATGAAATATTACATACCTCACACTGTACAATTCTGTAAAGATCACACTAGATACATCTCATGTAGCAGATGATCCCGAATTTTGCTGACTTGGGTCGAATTTCGCTGATTGTTGTTGGGCGTGACGAAGGAAGGCGATCCATCGAATCCCAGAGATTCGGGAGTTTTCTGGTCCATCGTTGTTGTGGCTAAGGATGATGATGAGGATCTTGAGACTGATGCGGCGAGCGAGAGTCGAATGATAGTCGGTGGTGCATCCCAGTGCATCGCCGGAGATGCGGCGGCGTTAGATTTTCTGATGGTAGGAACCAATTAGCATCTAAACTGCATAGAACTTTCTTCGCCGGTCCAATTTTGTTTAGTTCCATTTCATTAAGGGCACAATAGTAAAACTGCTAATAAAATAAATGATAATTTTGAAACAACTTTTCAGTGGTGTAGTTTTGAAAAGTACTACATTAAAAGTTGTAATTTTCAAAAATTCTCATCTTTGAGGGAGGAATAATTTGTTATTTTATTTATTTATTTAAAATAATTAAATTAAAAAGTAACAAAATACTAAAATATAATAAAAAGAAGATTAGAGTGAAAATTGGAAAAAAAAAATGAAGAAGATATATGTTGAATAGAATTTATCATCCCAAATCCAGTCCACTTAGGTACAATAACTATATCATAAAACTAAGTTTAGTTGACTGGGTCTCATCCATACGGTCCAGGTCCAATCACTCACAATGGTCTAAACCTGACAATCAGTGTTCCATTCGTCGAGGTCGAGCTGGAGCTCGACCTCGTCCTGAAGAATAAGGAAGAATCCAGACCAAGTCTGAGCATATTCTCACCAGTTCAAACGAGCCCGAGATTTCTGGGAGAAGCTGCTGCACGTGGTCGAGATTTCCGGCTGAAGCTGCTGCACGTGGCTGAGATTTCCAGCTGAAGCTGCTGCACGTGGCCGAGATTTCCGGCTGAAGCTGCTGCACGTGGCCGAGATACGCAATGGAGGTTGAAGCTCGACGAAACAAGCTATATAAAGGACACAAACTGCCAAGTTTTGGGAGATCTTGGACTTCGCCAGGGACCTTTGGCTTGATCTTTTTACACACTTTTACACCCGAAAACACTATAACTGCTCCCAGAATTCTTTTCAGTTCATCTTTTTCATTGAGATCTTTGTAACCGTTTCATTCGACCGATTAATACAAAGTCCTTATTTCAGTTAGTGCTAGCTTATACAGTCAATCTATTTGAGGGAATCTAGACCTTAATCCTCTAAAGTTCGTTCCTTACAAATACACATAAATTTCTGAGTGTGGATTTCGGTAACCATATTTTGGCACCGTCTGTGGGGACAGATCTATAGATTTTTCTTACTCAAGAGCAGATCTTAAGCCAGCTGAAACTGAAATGGATTCAACTCAACAAAACTCTGGAAACGTCTCACCGATTCCAATCTCTCTAGATCAAGTTACCCGACCGGCAGCGTCAGCCAGACAGCCGGGGGAAACAAACTCAGGGTTACGACCCTCGTTGACACCACCGGCACGAACTCTAACGTTCCCAGCCGTGTGGAACCGATCGTGATTACCCTCGTCACCCCACCGGGTACGACGAGTAACCAGTCACAAACAGCTGAGAGGCCTCCCTCTCGAACCTGGGTGCGATCTGAGAATCCACCTACAACTTCGGCATCACAGAGCCGAGCAACTCATGTTTCCCCGCCGATACCCGCAGCTTCTAGGAGTACGTCGGAGTCGGCGGAGATACTCCAAATGCTCACACAACTGATCGATCGACAACGAGATCAGGAGATCAGATTAGAAAGGCAGGAACAGCGTCAAGCCGCAGCTCGATCCGCTGCAAGTCCACCTCCACGGACTCAGCTTGACTTTTCGTCGATCCCTGCTCCAAGTAATCCACTCGGACCATACGTGACACCTCTGCGTGCTCCAGGTCCACCGAACTTCGCCCCCGCGGTGAACCAAACACCAATCACCACGGATGTTCCGGCTCCAGGAATACCAGAGATGGGACCTCGCCCCACGATGATATATCCATCTCCACCTGTGCCGACACCAGGAATACCCGAAATAGGACCTCGTCCCAACACGAGATATCTATCTCACCTTTAAGACCACCTGGAACCGAGCCACCTCGACAGAGATGGCTTGGATCCTCGGCATTCGCCTCGAGCTCACAAACGCCATCCCAATTCGGCCAACAACTGAACACGACCTCGAGCTCGAGACCTCCAAGCGGAATCCGCGAATAACCCATAGGATTTGTTCACCAACAGCTCGGAATCCAGATCCCAAATGATCCGATTCGGGCTAACCACCTTGGAGTCGGCCCAAAAAACCTAGTCGACTGCGAATCTTTCGAAAAATTCCAGAATCAAACCGACTATGCTATTCGGCAGATGAACTCCATGTTCCATCAAGCCACAAGCTCAGCTCCTGACATCGATCGAGTAATTCGTGAGACCCAACGAACTCCGTTCACCTACTCGATCATGCACACATACCTCCGAGACACTACCAAAGTAAGAGTCTCGGAGTACGCTGGGAACAGCGACCCGAAAGCCCATATCCGACTCTTCAACCTCGCAACTATCCGAGCTAATTTCTCCCCAGAAGAGAAAGAAGCAGGATATTGCAGGCTCTTCGCCGAGAACCTAGTCGGACCAGCTCAGGAATGGTTCGCGAACTGGAAGAAAATTCGATCTCGAATTTCAACGAGCTCGCAGTAGCCTTCCTTAAACAGTATTCGATATTCATCGAAAAACGAGAAACCGTAGCCGACCTCTGGAAGCTAGTCCAAGCTCCGGATGAACCACTTCGATCATACATCGCTAAATTCAAAGCGATCAAAGCTAAAATCGCTAACCCTAACGAAGCAGTAGCCCTGCTCGCCATGCGAAACAACCTATGGTACTAGTCGAGGTTCAAGGCAGAGCTCACGCTCCGACTTACGGACTCACTCGATGTCGCGCTCCATCGCGCTTCCATATACGCTAACTTCGAAGATGAAACAGCCGCCTGCGAAGCAAAATACCGCAACTCACAGCTCTACCTCGCACCCTCCGGGTTGAAAACAGCTAACGTTACACCCCCCAAAAGAGGGCCGTAGGGCAAAGGTCAGCATTCATATGTCATATAGAGCTTCGACCAAAACAAATACTGCATGCACCACAAAAGAACAGACATTCCACCGAGGAATGTCGAACTCGAGCTAGGATCCTGGCGAAAAAGCTTGCCAAGGAAAATGCCGAGAAGGCCGAAGGAAAAAGCAAAATGCCCAAAAAGACCTCAACCCGAAACAGGGAAGCGGACCCCAACAAAGCACCTCAAAAACGAGACTGCGAAGTCAAAATCGAAGTCCAAACCCCTGACTCCCCTCCATCAGCAGAAAAAGAATAGACCTGATCTTTAGAGAGCTAAACTTATGTGGTGTATCAATGAAATCAGTAATCACCCCCCCCCCCCTCTCCCCCGCCCGCCCGCACCTAGGAAGCCATCGCGCTCTAGCTCAACCAGGCTCCATAAGGTCACGGGAGGACACGTGTTAAAACTACTCGGAAGCTCGTCAAAACCGAGCATCACTCAAGTCCCGACACCTCGATCTAAAGCGAGCTCTAGCTCATGCATCGCTCACTCCTTCGAGGGGGAGGAGGAGCTACCCACAATGAAGCGAATCAACTTCATCTGCGGAGGCTCAAAGATGTGCCGAGACTCAATCAACTCAATCAAGGCATATCAACGCAAGGTAGAGTCTGCCACGGTAAACCTACCCCTGGACGGACCCGACCACCAAATCAGCTTTCTAGAATGCGAAACGCTGACTCTAGATAAACCACATGACGATGCACTCGCCATATAGATCGCTGTAGGTGGATTCGACCTCACAAGGGTCATGACTGATACCGGAAGCTCGGTAGACGTGTTGTTCTTCGACGCTTTTAGACGCATGAGATACCAAACATCCATGCTGTCGAACGAACGAACTCCACTCACCGGCTTCGCAGGAGAAACCACCTACTCGTTGGGAACCATCCAGATCCCAGTTAAGGCCGGCGGAGTCATAAAAACAATTGACTATGTAGTCGTAGATCGCCCAGCTCCTTTTAATGCTATTCTCGGCAGACCTTGGCTCTACGCAATGAAAGTTGTGGCTTCTACATACCATCAACTCCTGTCCTTCATGGACGCTTTCTCCGGTTACAATCAGATCAAGATGAATCCGGAAGACCAAGAAAAAACAGCCTTCATTACCGATCGAGGTACCTACTGCTACAAAGTAATGCCATTCGGCCTGAAAAACGCAGGAGTGACCTATCAAAGGCTAGTGAACAAAATGTTTGCTAACCAGCTCGGTAAAACCATGGAAGTCTACATAGACGACATGCTGGTCAAGTCCGCAAGAGACACAGACCACGTCGCACAATTCAGGGAATGCTTCAAAATCTCAAACCAATACGAGATGAAGTCCAACCCAGCTAAATGTACCTTCGGAGTCGCCTCAGGTGAATTCCTCGGCTACCTAGTCACCGAACGAGGAATCAAAGCAAACCCAAAACAAATCTCGGTTTTCCTCGAAATGCCATCTCCCATGACAACTCAGGAAGTACAACGTTTGACCGGTTGAGTTTCAGCCCTCAACAGGTTCATCTCGCGGTCAACCGATAAATATCTCCCCTTCTACCAGCTCCTCAAAGGAAATAAAAAAATCCAGTGGGACGAGAAATGCGAGGAGGTATTAACCCAACTCAAAACCTATCTCACCGAGCCCCCCATCCTAGCTAAACCAATCGAAGGAGAACCCTTATACCTTTATACAGTGGTCTCTCCAGCTGCAGTAAGCGGCGTGCTGGTCCGGGAGGAGCTCAACGAGCAAAAACCAATCTTTTATATAAGCAAAACGCTTATCGATGCCGAGACAAGGTATCCAGCCATGGAAAAACTAGCACTAGCTCTAGTAATGTCAGCTCGCAAGCTCCGACCTTACTTTCAGTCACACTCAATCGTGGTAATGACCTTGCAACCAGTGCGAACAATACTCCACAGTCCCAGCCAGTCGGGACGCCTCACGAAATAGGCCATCAAGCTCAGCGAGTATGACATTGAATATCGAACCAGGACATGTGCTAAGGCCCAAGTCCTGGCAGACTTTATGGTCGAGCTAGCTCCAGAAGCTAGCTCCGAAAACCCATCCTCCAAAACTTGGACCCTTTACGTCAACAGAGCATCTTCTAAACAGAGCTCCGAAGTCGG